ACCACATAACTTTTAGATTTTGCCCTCAGTTTTTTTTTTATTTCGTGAGCGCAAAACTCTCAAGGCAACTTTCTGGGTTGAATACTTGGAAATTTTTTATTAATAATCTTAATTTCTTAAATGTTTATTATTTACGGTGCAAGAGAAACAGATCAAGGGGCGGCACAGTTTGGCAACACTCGCCTCCTTATTTCATTGATGGAAAAACATTTAGTACAATTTCGTTTGCTTTTAACTGCAGAATCATTTAATATTTTCAAACAGAAATCCTCACAAAAGACATGCATGTCCCAATTGTATTGGATTAATCTTCTTGCGTCACGCCAACAGATCTGCTCCCCCAAATACAAGCACAAAACTGGTCGAACAAAAGCAAAACAAACGAACAATCCCTATAGTTCCTTGAATTTCAACAACAGAAAATGACGGAGAATCCACTGGATGTCAAATCAGTAATGATTTTGGTTTTACCCTAATCACGTCCCGAAAGCTGTATACAGCCTCTGTATCACAGCGCACTCCATTCAGTTTTGTTTTTATCTCCACGTAACCCACGTAACATTTAATTTTGGCAAGACCGAAACTTCATGTTGTCATTCATATCTAGAGCCTCACTGGCCCTAAATTTTATATCAGTATATTCGAGTTACAAAAAGGGACAAAGGAAAAAAGTCACCCAAGTTACTTGGTCAAGAATATGTCTCTTTTCAAACTCAAATAGAACAACACCAAAATTTACCTGCCATTTTTTCAAAAGTTAAGAAAATATCAAAATGCAAGTATTGACAATTCCGTATTTCCACAAGTGCTGTGCATGAAAACGGTATGATGGAACACCGTGTTTGGAGTTACGATGAACTCCTGCAAAAACAATTGTGATTGTACACACACAACAAAGTTGGCGTATATCTTCTTTTTTCTTTAACTCGTGTACAATTTGTCTAAAATGTACCTTTTTATTCAACCGCCGGCCTTGAGAATCAAAACTTTGACTTAACACTGGCTTGTACACAGACTGACGTATGTGAAATGGCATAAATAATGAGGCGATCTTGTGATTAATAAATAAAATGTAACTTGGATAAAGATGCAAGATGACTTGTCAAAGAAGATATTAGGTTTGGACCATCTGAATTTCCAACTTTTTATTTCAATGACAGCTACAGTTAAATTGTCTTCATGTAAACCCTCGCACCAGTGTCTACAAATGCTCCTCGTTCCTCAGAACGTTTTTTTCCCGGGGGAATTTCTTAGGATCACTATAAATAGGCCCCTAAGAGGAAAATTCAAAGCGATAAGAAGCCAAGTGTTTCCGTTTTAAAATCGTGTAAGTCATAAATACCACCTCTTGACATTAAAATGGAACGAAGGTGCTTCCACCATTTCCTATGCAGAGGAAGCACTGCACGTATAATTGCAAAAAAATAAATTGAAACAAAACAGTTGATGAGCGAACGCAGACTATGTTACTAACGGTGGCTTATCTCTTCTATACGTTTACAGACAAAACGTGCAGTACCAGCTTCAATTATGAAGGAGAATTATGCTTTGTCGAGGGAGAAAATGAGTACGCACACGTACATGGACATAGGGTACCGGTTATAATCCCTTTTTTCCTCTCTTTTTTTCTCTATTTAAATTCCCCTTTATACCTAGGACCACCAATTAAAGTGTACATTCAACCAAATTCCCCAAAGATCCGACAGCAGGGGAACATTACCATCGAACTCGTTGTAGGTGGGTTCTTTGTATTATTTCAAGGTTTGTCTGTGCTAAAAGAGTACCTGCAATCAGTTGGTTTTATTACAAACGGTCAAAAAGCACTTTAATGTTATTTTCAACTTAAAATTTCACTACTTCAACGGGTATTTTACGTCCTATTTTACTGCCTTGTTGGTTGTTGCGCCGAGTATTTCCATACATACATGAGCAAAAGTGTTATTTCATCCCAATAAGAAAGCCTCAATGTTTCATTAGTTTAAAAACAGACATGTCTTGCCTTTTTGAGATTTTTGTGGACCTAATTTTCTCTTCTTTGCGGATTCGTCGTTGTTTAAATAAACAACGACGAATCCGCAAAGAAGAGAAAATTGTATAGGAATAAGCGAGCGTTAATATTTTTCTCAGAAATGGTTTCACTGAAAAAATTCTGAGCTCACAATTTGAACAGAGAAACCTATGCATTGAACTGTGTTTCACATGGATGGCATTACAGCAAGATTTAGTTCAGTCATAAATTACGGAAGCCGTTTAATTAATTCACATGAATCTTTCGATGGAAACATGGTTTCTCATCCTGTTTCTGCACGGGTTTGGGTTTGATTGTTCCTATAGCTCACGACATGGTCGCCAGAACTGTAGAACTTTTCACTAACGCCGCAGCCAGCATCCCACTACTGGCAGTCGATGCCGCGAGTTGACATCAATAAACCTCTGATGAGCTCGATGGCTTTTGACCTTCAGCAAACTTCACATACCTAATTCTGCAGTTTTGATACAGTCTTTAAGTTCAGTGGCGTATTTAGCCACTAAAGCTCACCATAAAATGATTGACGTGTATTTTCCATTTGCAGAGAAACGAGTTTTCTCGCGTTCGATTGGATTGACGACAACTTTGCTGAGGTATAAATACACTTTCATTTATTGTAACGATCAAGGCTTATCGAAGTATTAATTGGCATGTGCCTCAGTCCAAACATAAAAACGCAGACATGAAGAAACGAAACAATTTATGACATGGTGACACAATCACCAAATATGTACTGGTGTTGAGGAATAGATAGTCCAAACAACCCAATGAGTGTCTCTCTGAACAAACCGGCCTCCCAAACTGTGTTTTTAATGCTACAAATGAGAAACAAAAAACTGTCTCGTAAAAATGAAATATATCTCCTTGCTGATAACAGAGTCTTGTTCTCTTATTTTCCCCTTCCCTGCGTGTAGAAAGAGTACAAAGGCAACGTGACACTGACCAACGAAGAGAACCTGCTGATGGCTTGCTTGAGAGGAAGCTTCAGGCTATGCGACGACTAATGAAGCATACATAAAGTTTCTTATTCCACAGTTGTCTAGCTTTTAAGTTAGGCGACTTTATGTTAAAGCTTAGCGAAACTGAGCGACAAAAGACTGCCTGCTTTAATGTATCCTGAAATATACGAAACAACCAATCTGTGTCTCTCGTCCCTCGAGCTTCCCAAAAGGCTTTTACTCAATTAAATTGGGTGGAATATGTACATGCACGTGGCACAGAGAACAGTTATGGTGAAGATCAATGAACGATAAGCTGTGTTAACGCGATTCTATCGCAAGGGTGCAATTATTAGTATCCTTTTTCATAAAAATTTCTCTTCTCTAAGCTTCTTTATAGTACCTTCACCTAGATTTGAGAGTCAGCGTCCTCATCATCGTCACTCATTCATTGGCTATCACTGGAAATGCGGATTAATTCCGTTGTCAGCTACGCGGAGATTGTCATGAAACTCGTCAGTCCGGTAGAGAAAATAGCACAAAGCTTCTGTTGCTCCTTTAAAACGCTCCCAATCCAAGGGAAGAAACCAAACTAACCGAACTCAACCTGGGGACGATAGCAGCTTTTCCCACGAATGTGATCTAAGTATTAGAAATCAAGCAAAACGTGGGGGTGTTTTATTAATGCAGGAGAACCCCTGGTATGTCAGGAAGCCGGGTTGCTAAAAAATAAATCTCCGCGCTGTAAGCTTATCTTCACATTTACTTGTACCTAAAATTAATTTTTTCCCTAAAATGCAGCTATAATACTTATAAAAAATCTTTCCAAAAATAGTCTACAAGCAATTGGAAATACATCATAACACTTTGACGAAAATGTCAGCTTATAAATACATAAAGATTACACGCACAAAAATATTATTCACGGTTGATTTAATAGAAGAGGGTAATATAATTTATCCAAACTGGATTGAGTTGCTCCTGAAAAAGGTTTACAATAAATTTGATATAAAGGAATTGTATTAAAAATAAACAGAGTACAATAATCTAGTGTAGTTTATGTCACCTAAAGAAACACAATTTGGAAGTGTATGTACATTTAACTATTTCAGAACAGAAAACCTTATTCCCCGAATATATATGAGGTGGTATTAAAGGTCCATACTTAAGAAAAAGTACATTTATTTAAGTACAACAAATTGAGGTGGCAGTTATCGAATCGATGATGTTTGTAAATATAGAAATAAATTTAGCCAGCCTTCACTGTAAACAATTCAAAATACAGCAGTGATTTCTCATATTGTCAGCTTCGAGTGTTCTTATGGGACACCGTGAGCTCAAAGTATAGATCACTACATACACAATAAAATACAAAGTCAAAGACAAAATGTCGTTATGATAGTTCAAACTATAATCATATATGCTGTTCAAAATAGAATCAATAATATGCTTTCTGGACATTAGACTATGTTGCGCCTATTTAATATTTAACATCTAATATACCATAGAATGCATGTTAAAGAAAGCAAAATCTTGCAAAGCTGGCCATGCTAATTCAGAAAGTCTGTTTACCTGAAAAGTCGACTTCACAAGTAATAATAATGCACTAAAACCAGTGCAAAACGTATGATGGCCATAAAAGTTTAAGAATATTATGTGATTAAAAGTATACTATTATATACATTACATAAAACGTATGTAATTGTACACAGTAACATTATTCAAGAGAACCAAGTTCGCACAGTTTATTTCAGACTGCCCTTCATTACATAAAGCGACAAATAAAAGAAGCACAGCGATATTTTGATATCATCTGTTTAGCTCCCTTTTGTTTTTAGTGGATCGTATGAGAAAATTATCTACTGCCGGTGACAACAACCAAGACAAAAGCCAATGATGTATCGAGGGGCAGGGGCAAAGTTTATTTTGTTTTATTGTTTTACTGTTTGTTTTCTAAGAAATTGAAAGCAAAAACATGTTCAAAATGGTACAAGGCCCTACCATCTTTGGGAGGGGCTTTAGGAAATTTTCAGATGAAAAAAAAAACAATGCTGACTGCCTCTTTTAGAAAATGACATCCATTTGGCCTCCCCTCCCTGAAACAAAATCTGGATATGCCACTGACCAAAGCCAGTGGGAAAAATGTAGCTGTAGTGTCGGCTTCTACCAGTGAATCTAAAACAATTGCCATGAGAGAAAGGACAGCGACCATTTTTGAGCTGTGATATGGTCACCTGCATTCATACAGACCCCTAAAATGAGCAAAAAGCCCTTGTATATAAATATACATCATTCAAGCTGGCCCTCATTAAAACTATATATAACTATAAATTTAAACTATATATAACTATATAAACTGATATCTTCCTCACGATATATCTGTCACGCTATTTCTCTTGCCGACTTTTTAAAACATCACTTAAAACTTTTCTTTTCCATACCTATTCAGTGTTGTAGTCGAGAACTTCTCGAGTAACAACTCTCTACCAAATATTTAACTAGTTAGGAGGAGAAAACCTGAAACACATGGATACTTGATGGTACACGCACAAAGATATAACAACTTAAACTGATGACGAAACTGAAAAGTATTTTAAAGTAATGCAAAAGTACTCGGCCGAGTACTTTTCTCCTTAAACTTATATTTTACAAAACTGGGAGTGAAGTCTTACATTTAGTTTGTAATTCTACTTTTTGTCTTCTTTGAATCCCTCTTCCCCGTTTAATATTTGGCAGAGAACTTTGGTACTCGAAAAGACTACAACACTGGACCTATTAAGCCGCATAGCCCATTATCATTTCAATTCTCCACTTCTGAATTACACATTTTAATTCATGGATAAAATGTTGTGATACCAGTTTGTGGCAGAACTTTATATAAATGCCTGAGTTATTATCATCATTATGACCCAAACCACGTAAACTCCGTCGTCACGCCGTATTTTGCGTAACAGAAGTATGTAAACCTCTCAAAAACACATTCTTATGTCTACATATGAAATAGCATGTATTTCTTGCAAGGTTTCACTAACTATGAGGAATAAAACGTCACACAGCTTGTGGTTGTTGCTGGTGTTGTAGAATTATGGGGCTAGTTGTAGATACTCGGGTTGTAAACAACACGGCCTGCAGCACCGTCTTCATGCTGTGCAACATAAACATGGAAAAAACAAACGGTAATGAGAGCCATGTGGGGTTAAAACTGAATTAAGAATGAATACTCTCCGCTGTGGCTCCTATCATAAGGTGAATTCCTAAAACTGAAGTAAAGATGTTTTTAAACATACTCGTTCATTTTCCCTGTACAGCTCCTCCATACCGGAAGCCACGTATGGTCGGACAAACTCATCCCGCCTTGGCAAATACTGTGGAACAGAGAAAAAACAGATGATATTATGACAATTTTTAAAGTGACGTTGCACTGCTGTGAAGCAAGAACAAATAAAAAATGTCTGTGCCGATTTTTTTCCTTTTTTCTTTTTCGCTGTCTTCAGTTTGTTTATGTTGTTAGGGGTCGTTTTTTAAATGCTTATGCAACCTCATGTTGTTGATGATGAAATTCTACCTCTATCTGTAACTTGTCTGTTCTTTTATAAAGTGTCTTAAAGCCATTAGAGTCAGGTTATCTCAGGTTGAAAAACTCTTGGTGAGGTTAACGAATAGGCCTGCATTTTGGAGGTTTTGATCAAACTCATTGGCTTTGCAAGAAGTAAGAGAGGCCGTTTTAAAAATCGTGCAAAAGTGAAAACACACGCAGGCTAAATATTCGTGCTTCAAATTCGTAAAAGATGAGCACATTTCAACTCGACCAAAATTTTGCTGCAAATATGTCATAACGTCAAAATCGCTTCACATTCGCATTCACCTGAACTATGAACCGGCCTTAAAGCAACTACTGCAGGGACAATTACAAGTTGTGGATTTCAATATTCCCAACAAACTAAAGATCCGGGTTAACTAGGACTACAGTTGCAGAGAGTTATGTTGACAAAATGTCCCCAAGAGGACATTTAGATGTCAAGGTGCATGATGCACTCACCTGTCGCAAGTAAGGTGAATGGCTCATGACATTCCTCAAACGGTTCATTCTGATATCCTCGTCTCTGAGTGAAGATGTGGAGTACCAGTTGTCTTCAAAGCGGTTGTCTTCAAAGCGACTGTTATAGTCAGGGTACTCAGACAGGCCATAATTGACCCTAGGATCGCGAGGCTTTCTCCAGTCTGGATAGGAGTGGAGACCGGCTTCGTAACGCCGCCTCATCAAGAAACACAAGCAGACGAGCAACCCGACTGCCGCGAGGAGGAGGAACACACACCCTACGACAATGAGAATGATTGCGAGGGTCGAGACACCACCTGAAACGAGACAGATTTCAAACAGATGTAATGAAAAAGTCCAATGTCGCAACTAGGCTCACATTTATCATGCTCTTGATGACCATTTCAATTTGTTAGAATGAATCCACTTGAAGATTTCTCGATGGTGGAATGCTTCAACCGCTGGTCCTTTTAAACTAATAGACACCACGGGTCCTAAAAGATTCATGTTCTTAAAACACTGCTTCTCAACACAGCAAAACTTAGAAAGGCACGTGGTCTTAACCTACCCGTAGAAGCACTGAGGGCAGATGAATGTACAAAAGGAAAATCATAGCACTTTCTAACAGTGACAGAACTGAAATATACACTCTGTCCATGATTCAAATTACAAGCATGTCCCTTTGTTCGGGTAAAATGATCAGCATTTACCATCTGGTGCTTGTGTTGTGGTCTCCATTGTTGTGACATCACTGGTGGGCCCGGGAATCGCCGTCCCACAGTCCTGACCAGTGAAAGAAGCTCCACAGCTGAACAAAGGAATGAACAAATTTTTGTAAATGCTACGTAAATTGAGATCAATGCCTATCAGGGAGAAAATTTTGTTGTATTGTTTTGTCTTAGCCCTGTCTGTAATTTTACGACATCCTTTGAGATGCTTGGTGGTGGCAAACTAGGAGCTGAACATTATACATTCTCTGTAATTCTCCATTGTTTCTCAAACAAAACAACCCCAAAACAGAACTCTCGGATTTGTCTTTTGGGGCATGGAAAATGCACCAGATTGAAGGATTTGAGGCATGCTTTCAAAACATTTCAGTGGGGAGCATGCCCCCCGACTCCCCTAATCTGGTGATGCTAAGCTGAGCCATTGCATTTTGAACCTCACCCTTCTCATAATCCTGGGCATGCCCCTTAAAACATGCTGGTCTTTTTCTATTGTTCATGTCAACTTTGAGCTAACATGTGCACTTCACATATACATGTACATGTAGTTGATATCACATCCGCTGGCACCATTTGAAAATTTGGTCAAGACTTTGGAGAGTGGTGCTTATTTAGAATCTCTGAAGAAAAAAAGATAAAGCATCTCTAAGGCTATACGGTTGGATGGAATGAACCTTTTGATGTAAAAAAAGAGATGTTGGTTGATCATCGGGGTATTCCCGGTGGTGCAGAGTGGAAATTACCTGCAGGAGTAGGTTATCTGAGACGGATAGTACCCCAACCTCGAACATGTCCCTCCATTCTGGCAATAGTCAGCTGGGCAATCTGTCGTCGTGTCTGAGAAAAAAATAATATCAGAGTAAATATTTACCAGTGGAAATCATAACATGTACACAAGTCTTTCCTGTTACTGCAAAACAGGTGTGCCCTTCAAACTATGTAACAAATTGTTTCACAAAACAATTCAGGGTTACTATAGATGAGAGGCTGGTAAGAAATGCTAGGATGCAAAGTAAGTTGCGGTTTATGCAAAAGCACACAGCTTACCATTTACTGTAACTGAAGAAGGATCGATCGGAATTGTTACTGCACCGTCAGTTAGCTCATTGGAGCTTGATAGAACTCTTAAAACGTCAGCATTCAACTGAGGCGATACACTGGGGTACTGCAATACCATGCTAACCACGACACTTCCTGACTGAAGACGAATGACGTGTGCTGATAACACGCTTCTGGTGGATGCGTCTCCCATCAATCGTATGAGAACCTAAAAATAATAATAATTTTACGAAGGATGGAAACATGGCTGGAAAGATGGGAGCATAAGGGGCAATAAAATGTCCACAACAGTAAGTTCAACCAAACAGAAGTTTGAAATGGCTCAAAATATGACCAAACCCCCGAAATCCGAAATTTCAGCATTTCGACAAAAGGAGCATTCCTAAAGTTTGGATGCAAGTGACACACTTCTCCAGGTGCAAATGCAGAGTAGACCCAATTACACTAATGCAATGAAAGTATGTAACTTACCAGCCGTTCAAAAATGACAATTTTTTCTTTGAATGCAGATGATGTAGGATTATTGTAAACAGCTCTGAAAGTCTCAGCGACAGCTCTAAACTCTGCTGTGATTGATGACAGCTCTGGAGAAAAAACAATACGAGAGGCAATTCTCACACAGTCTCTCACATATATCACATATTATGACAGTATATTAGTGCCATGTGTTGCATGGTGTCATTCCCAGTGAAAGCTTTCTTTTCAATCAGGGTAATTGGGTGGAGTGGAAAATATCTTCACCAAAACTTCAAACAGCCTGTAAGAATGACTTACGTTGACATACACTTGAGACCATAAAAAATCCATCAAATATACGGCACTCGCAAGTGAAGCCAGTTGAAGTAGGTACACAGTATCGTCCAGTGGTACTATCTGAGCATTTGTCAACACTCAAGCACAGATTGTCATCTGAAAATATACAGAAATAGAAGAAACAAAATTATTAAAGTACACTTCGGTATCAGCCATCTTGTAAGACGTTCGCTCCCTCTGAAAATGGATCTTATCAGGCAATAATGTGAATCAGAAATTATGTTGTTGACACAAAGTGTCTGAGGCTGTTGCGTTTAGTTTGAGGTTGCTGTAAACCAATTTGTATATGAAAAACAAGTCGAGTGTTAAGATATGTTGATCAGCACGAATACGTAGCTATTTGCTGGTTGTTGCTTATTTCCATTGAAGATTGCACTATTTTGCAAAATTTTACAAAAATTCGAAAATATTCAAAAAGAGGGACCAAAACTTCTATAATTATTTCAAAGATTCACAAAAGGGCTCTTTTTATATGTAGATCATGAAACTCCAAACGATCAAGTTGAAAATATTTAATATGTACATTTAATTTAATTTAAACAGGACATAAATTCTGGGCATAATTACTAGGGATAATGAAGGGATAGAGGGATAAGTGGGACGTTCTTGTTAAAAGTTACTGGTCATTATTATTCTTACTTTCGCAAGTTGTTCCATTATGTGTAAGAGGACAGACGCACTCGCAATGCTCTGCATCAAAAAGGCCACCGTTCATGCAGCTTGACTCCGTCAATGGACACTCTAGAGCACACAGATAGGAAAACACATAATTGGGATGAAGAAATACTCCTATAAATTAAGTAGATAAATAAATTGAATGTCCCATTATAGGCTAAGCAAGGACAAAACAATTTCCCTATTGGTTGGGGAAAAACATGTTTTTTGCAGCTTCATGCTGAAGCTGACATTTCATTTTGGGCAACTGAAAATGCAAAGTGTGGGTAATGACCAGGATATACCAAGGAAGTCATTTGGAACTGGGTGAGATGGGCCAGGTATATACCAGGGTTTTTATCAATAATGAGCTCATGATAGTGTATGACAAATATTGAGATTAAGATTTAAGGAATGTACCGCAGAATTTTGCCCTTAACTGAGAAGATTCCTAATGCCCTCTGCACTGGGCACACGAACAGGAAAGGAACAAATTAAATGCCCTTGAACATGTTGAAATAGCACAATAGCATGTTTGCTTGTTCGAGGAAAGGTGGAGTGTGAAGAACTCATCCATAAACATTATCCCAAATTATCATACATGTTTGTCCGTGTCAACACTACACACACAACACCAATAGTGATGGCACGTCTTTCCTGTCCTATACATGTGATATTGGTGAGGGTGTCTTTTGTACAACTGTGTACATCTATTCTCTGCAAGCCTCAGCCAAAAGAATGGCTGAGTGTATAAGGGAATCAAACCAGTCACGGACGCCAACAGTCACAGATGCCAGCATTTAAGTGATGTGGTTGTAGGTGTAGTGAGATGTTTGTACTCGGAGGTGGCGGATTGGGCACAAGCCTCAAGTTTACAGGCCCTCAGATGGCAAAGCAACTGAAACAGATTAGCATATGTGCCATTTACCTGAGCAATCTCGTCCAGTCCAGTTGTCACCAGGACATGAACACTCACAGGTCACACTGTTCAGAGTTCCACCATTTGTACACGTCAGGGAGCATTCTGACAATGGGGAGAAAGCCATGTCATAAATTAGTGTAATCAAACATGTAAACATGCAGTGGACTGGTGGAAGACTTCGACAAGATAGCAGCAGACAAACTGGTCCTTTTCCACAGTTGTGCACGTGCCCAGAACCACCGCGCATGCCCAGATTTTCGAAGTCTCCGGTTAGGTTCAGAGGCAGTTCAC